GGAACCGTCACTGCTGCGAGGGTGGAGAGATGATACCATCCAGATTACAAACTGTGCTGGCAGCCATCTCTAAAGCCTTGGGCAAGTTGTGTCATTTTCTGTCCCTTTGTGTCCCTTCTCAGCATTTCTCTGTGTAGCATCATGGCAGAGGGATTCTTGCTACATCCATTGGGCTCATCACAGTGGGACCTTGGGCTTGGCAGGAGCTGCAGTGGGAGAAAAGAATATAGATTTGTTCTTTATATTTTATACCAAGATACCTCCTTAATATGTAGGAGAAAGCCTTGTATTGCTGTGTCAGTGCAAGGTATATGCTGGTGTTTGGTTTCAGCATGTACATGTTCCCTTCCGGGTCATAAATCAAGTAAAGATTTATTTCTTTATTTTATTGAGTATTTTTGTAAGCTGTGTGGAAATGAAGAAGAAAATCAGTTTTGTACATGAGGAAAGTCATATTAAACAAGTGAATTGTGTAGGCTTCACAGCTGGAGCAGGAATGCCTTGTACTTATAGTAAGTCTGATTTCCTTCTGTGGTGAGGAAGCTCAGTTACCTTATTTAGCTCAATTTTATATACAGGAACTGAAAAACAGGCCACATTGACTGGGACAATTTAGAACAATGAAAGCATGGTGTTAATTTCATAACCTTGATGTCATGGCCTTGCTTTGAGCAGGGTGATGGACCAGACAAGCCTTCCAACAGAAATTTTCACATGAATGTTGTTTCCAACAACCCTGCCTTCTCTCAGGGTCCATATCCTACTCTAGAAGTGACATGTCATCTTCCCAGGAAATGTCTGGCATGTCCTGTCACAACCTGCACCCGGTACTTCAAAGAAAATAGGCCCATTTTGTTAAGTACAGAGCTGTGGTCAAGTGGCATTTTCCTATGCCTTTGAGGCATATTGTGTTGGTAGCTGTTGATGATGGCCATGCTGAAGTAGTTCTTGCCTTCGCTATTCGTGCTTCTTCTGTTTCCTGGTCTTATGAAGGGGGTTTGTTTTGGGTTTTGCCCCGTTCTAGCAAGAGGCACAACTCATTGAGACTGTCACCTGAATACCATGGTAGAGGAGAGAGGAGGGAGAAGAACCTATTGGAGAATTAAAATAATTTTTTTAAAAATATGGTTTTAGAAGTGTCTGAGGGTTTGTGAAACAAGGTGTCAAAGGCTTTCCTAAAGTCTAGGCAGACAACATCTGCACCCTTTCCTTCATCTACTAAACGGGTCACCTTGTCATAGGAGGAGATCAGGTTAGTCAAGCAGGACCTGCCTTTCCTAAACCCATGCTGGCTGGGTGTGATCCTCTGGTTGTCCAAGGAGTGTGTCCAGATTCCCTTCCCTAAGGAATTAGGAAATACAGTTCTGACCATCAGCCAAACTTCTGGAAAGGTCTTGTGAGCCTGTCTCTCCTGGGAGATGCAGTAGAAACAGGAAAAGGATGTCCTGTCATGAGAATATCATGATATGGAACTATAGGCTATGTATTGAGAGCAGGAGATCACAGCAGCAGTTGTACACCCAGCAATCTGGGAGATGAGGAGGCGAAGCAATATTTTCCTTGACAGCATTTGATATGAAATTGTGAGGAGGTTTTATAGCTGACAACAGCCAAAACTCAGAAGAACCCCAGAGGTTTGCTTGGGTGCTGAGGACTGATTTTGCCTGGGTGTCTTGTCTATGAAAAGGTTTCAGCTGTATCAAATAATCCCAAATAATCAGCCATCCATCCCCATGACCATTAGTGCCCTGATCTTGGTCCTGCTTTTTGAATTTGTTGAAAACTTTGCAATGGCAATTACAACCAGATGGTGAGAACTCATTTGACATGTCAAAATGCTCAGATGGCAGAGCAACAAAAGATGGAGCACTTCTCAGAAAAATAAAATAGGTTTGGGTTCAGGGAAAAAAGAGCAAACTTGAGGAGTGGTTTCCTCGGTGCAGGGCCCTGGGGGAGTGTTTGGGAAGGGTGGGAGTTTGTTGGAGAAGAATCAGCAAAGTAACTGGAAACCCTGTGGTCCGTGTGTTGTGACTCTATCAGGCATGTTTAAGACTCCCAACTGATTCCTCTCAAACAGATTACCAACACAGAATTTCTTTTCTGTCTGTGTTCACTGCCTTTCAGTTAATTTAGAAATGTAACAAGAGCATCTTTTGTTGCTTTACTCCTCTGCCTCTTAAGGATGTATCAGATGCATGTCACCTCTAAGCTATTGGTTTTTTTTGCTAAAATGACTCCTCTCTTACAGCAATTGCATATATAATCCACAGGGCCACATAATGTCTTCTTAAAATTGTAAATACCTGTAACACTGTCCTTAAATTTTCTTTTCTTCTCTCTTCATAAAGAGAGAGACATTCATCAGTGGCCTGGGTAATTTCTGCTTTAGTTGTCTCACTATGGAAGGAGCAAGACCATAAACAGTCTGCTATCAAATAGTGTCCTAACAAAAGAGATGGGGTTTCCCCCCTATTTTTATTAAACTCAAGCAAAATAGGTTGTTTAAAGGCAGGTGTCAAAAGGACTCTCCTTTACATTCCCATTTACTTTAGTGAGCACTGTGGGATATCATGACAATAGGGCCTTTTAGGCAGAAATTATCCAGAGTTACATGTTGTTTGGAATATTGGCAGAGCTGGGTAGAAACCAAATTGCTTTTTATAAAGCTACTGTATGTCATCATTTTCTTGTGATAATACTGGGTTTCATTTGTAAAGCAGTATGAGCTCACCCATGGAACATAATTTTTAAACCCATCTTTTTAAGATTCAGAAAACAGGAGCTATATCAGTGTTCATCAACACTTGGTAATGATTTCCCAGTAAAAGAGGAGGAAGAGAAGAAATCCCCATGGGGAAATCCTTCTAAAGTGGGTGTGCTTAGGCATGCAGGAGTTGTCCCATAATGATTTCAAGGGAAACAGGAGTCAGTTCTTTGGGCAATTGATACTTTAATGTGGACAATATTACTGATTCTGCAAGCTCTTTACTTACAGAACTAAAATATATAAGACTTTTTAATGTTGTTTGCTTCTTCTTTTAGCAATCTAAAAACTCCCACCTCCCACAGAATAAAACCAGACAAAAAACTGTGAGGAAGAATTTTATGATCTATGTTAGTTTTTCATTGCTAGGCCAGTTTATTTTCTCCAGTTGCTAATACTTTCCAGGTCCTGAGCATCCAAGTGAGCTTTCCACACCCTCATTCCTTAGTGGAGATGAGGAAAAACCTGCAGTGATTCACAGCATGCTCACTATCAACCCTGGCAACGTTAACCATACCCACAGTCCTTGTTGGTTCAAAGGGATAGCAGCAAACCTTGCTTTCTCTGCCAAAATACATAAATAGAGTAATGAAAGCCAAGTAATCAGTGTCTCATAAATGAGTGAAACCAGTGTATTGTTGTTCTGTCTGCCTTGGAAAGAGCTGTTCCTTGGAGATCAACACAGGATGGCAAATAGTTAATCATTGCTTTATAAAACAGTAACTGTCTTCGAAACTGAGGTCCAGAAAACAACACTACAGAAATGCCAGAGGAAAGTTCCAGTCTGCTTGTTTGTGACTGTGAGGGTGGTTTTCACTGATTAATGAATCCAAAGAGTGTTTGTTCGCTCTTAACTGGCATTTAAGAGTTCAGGTAATTCCACTTTCAGCTCCAGTAGTTTGGCATAAGACTGTAATTCAGAAATGTGTGACATGGCAATGAAGGAATTAATGCACAATCCTCATACTTTAAAAGGATGACTTTCTCCCTGTTTTTCCTCTTTGGCCTATATCAAAATAAACGTATTTGTAGTAAAACACAGTATCCTGTAGTGCTTTGCAAAATACTCTCTCTTTTCTCAGCAAAATGGGTAAAAGAGACTTTTAGCTGTTACTCTTAAGAAAAAACATTGTGTAAAACCAGCACTGAGGTATTCAGGTGATGCAGTTCTTGTGTAGATGAAGGAGTGAGATGTGTTGTGTGGTGCCTCACCTTCCAGTCCTGTACCCAGTTAATTCACACAGTACAATTGATTTCCCAGCTGGGAACTAGTTTTGCCATTGTTACTTCTGTGCTTGTAATTGCACTTTGAGGTTGGCAGGTTGGCTCAGGCTGTGAGATTCCCAGATTATGGATGTTTTCCCAACAGGGAGAGTGCAGGGGCAGAGTCTGTCTCTGACAGAACAGGAGGAAGCAGTCGGTGTGTTGTGCTTGTGTTCAGTGGTGTGTGCGTGTAGCCACAACCTTTCGAGGTGTGGTAACCAAATGATGGTCTGAGATACCCTGATAACTTTAGTTTAGTTAATAAAATCTACCACACAGCATTTAATAAACTATAGCCCAATCTTGGCTTTTTCACCTTTTGACATTTGATTCCCTTTAACTGCTCTTTCTAGGTATGCTTTGGAGAGCATCTCTATGGATGAATCTACTGAGTAGATTTTTCCCCAGAGCAGGGAAGTAACCTGTGGAAAAGTGCAGGCAACTCAGCAGGGTTTGGCAGAGACGTCTTGGTAGATTTGGGCTTCATCTGCTGGTCACCATGTGCCATCACCTACCTTTGTTCTTGTTAAAACACCTTGGTATAAGGGAGTCCATAAAGAGTTTGATGAAGTCTGTCTGAGAGAGGCTGTGTTGATGGATGCAAAGGACTTAAGGCCAGCTTAGTTGTTTGGGATACAGCGATGGACAGCAGATCAGCAGCTTTGGGGATAAATCACATAGGAGGACAGCAGCAAATACAACACAGCAGTGAAGTTATTCTTAGGTGGTGGCAGATGCCCGTGTGTGTGTCTATAAATAGCCCTACCCATAATGTGACCATTGTCCTGTGTGTGTTCATGGAACCACTTGAGACTCCTGCAGGAAGCAACACATGCCTCCTACATGTCTAGCAAGGGAGAGGATGGTTTCCCCCTTGGTGGAGGTGTTGCAGTGCCAGTTTGGGTGTTGGAACTGCTCTCAGCCATGCTGGCCCTTGCACCTGCTGACTCCTTCTTCTTCTTCCCCTTTCCAGGAGCTGAGTGTTGTGACCTGCCCTACTTCTCCCTGCTCGGTGTGGGAACGACCTGAAGAACGTCTTGGAGCCACCTGTACTGCTTCATGCAGTTAAAGTAAGGTTAAATGTTTTGGCAGCTCTTTCAGGTATACTCCAGGATTGAAATGAGGAGTTTGGGAGGAGTTTGCCCATTGTCAAGCCTTTTGTCAAACTTAGCCTTGACAGGAGGAGGGGATGCTGATATCAAAGCAGTTACAATGATATAAACAAATTCAAAAAGTTATTTTGCCATAAAATACAATTTCTTTGTGGTGGAAGTAGGAAAGGGATATGTGGTGTTACCTCCTGTATCAAGCAGACTAAATGGTATAAAATAGCACTTAACACTTTAAACATCAGCTGTTTTCCCCTAATATTTTAAGATACAGCTTTCATGTCCCTGGGGCAGGCGTATGGTTACAGCCCCAGGATTTCCACGGGAGCCGGCCGGGATCAGAGCTGAGGTGCCTCCTGGTCGGCACGGCGGCTGTCGGTCTGTCTGCCCCCGAGCAGTCGTGTTCTTGAGCCTTCTGGGTTTGGTGTTCAGCTAACACCAGCTTCTTGGTGTGGTGAACCAGATCACAGGATGGATCTGACCAAAAAGCGAGTATATGGTTATTGCGATACTGACAGGAGCTGTTTTGACTCATGGAGTTACACCCTTTCTCTCCAAAAAGACTTGAATGGGTAAAAACTGTTAGCCTGAAGCAAAGAAACTGCCAGAGTCTTGCCTGGAAATGGGCGCTTGCCATGTGTGAGCTCTGTCAAGGGAGAGAGGGAGGGAGGAAAACCTCGGCAAGCTGCCTCTTTTGTCCTCCTGCTGTCCCTAACCTGTTTACCTTCTGCAGTGCCTCATATTTTCCATGGTCTTGCCTACAAGACCAGCACTTCAACGAGACTGAGTCCAAATCGTTTGGTGTTACTGAGCTGTGGCAACAGCTGGGTGGATTAATCATAAACTGTTGTTACTTGTAGAGAGACAAGTATGTATTGTAATTATTTGGGTTTTCCTTTTTTCAGTGGGGTTGAGCAGTGGAATTATACCTATTTTCAGACCTTGAGAAAGAAATGAAGTCCTTGGCATGATTATGAATGGAACCTGCTTTATCAGGAATGAATAAGAGGCTTGCTGAGAGCTGTCCTCCGAGTTCATAATGTTTAAAGGAGGAATGCACGACACCAGCTGCAGAGAAGCAATTTGTGGCTTGATTTGTCATAGTATTTCTTAGCTTTCTGCTAATTTGGGGAGTGTGGTGAGTTGCAGCAAGCAGTGCTCACTTCTGAGGAAGATTCCAGACCCTTTCTGGGCATGACCAAAGGGGATGACTTTTTGTACTCAGCCACAGCAGTGAAATCTCTGGGGAGGCGCAGCACAGACAGCAAGTTGCTCACCCAAAGTCCTGCCTGGGAACCAGCCTGTGCCTCATGTCTGATTTCTGGGTGTGCCTCCTCTGAAGGATCTGGGAAAAAGAGAAAGGCTAATTTGGAGTTCAGGAGCAGCATTCTCATTCCCTTTCCTTTTTCTACCTGCTGGTCTAGTATTTCCATAATTGTGCTTATAATGACAATCTTTTCATTTCATTCATAAAGTGGTTACTGCTTAATGAACTTCATGTTAATGAGCTCTGTAACATTTAAAATAGCTGCATAACTTGAAAAAAAAAAGAAAAAAGCCTTCAGCAATGAAGGGACGGATTTCCACTCCCTGAGCTTAATCCTGTGTTATAACATAATTGTGGAGAGTTGCCTGGCTGGGAACAGCTGCACAGCGTGGGCTCTCGCTTCTGCAGAGCTCCTTGTCCCCAAGCTGGGGTAATAAATGATTTACTGGGGAGGCTGGGACCTTTGGGCACTTAACCCGTTCATTTCCTCAGAGACCAGCCTGAAAGGTCACTTTGTAAAGGCAGTGGAAAGAAACAGTTTTAGGTGTCCGCAAAATGTGGGGTTTTGCATGTAAATGTGCTGCAGAAAGGCTCAAGTGCAGAAGGTGGGTTAGTGCAACTGGATTCAAACTGTGCTTACTTGGATTTTCATTATTTGATGCTTTAATTTATTTAAAAATGGGGCTTGAGTGAGTGTTCTCTCTTTTCTGGGCTAGGGATGTAATATTTTCTGTTGCTTGGGGTTTTACTTCCTGTGGGATATTCCCAGTGCAATAAAGTGTCCTGGGAACAGAGCTCTCATTTTCCTTGCAGGGAATGCCACACCAAGTGACTCCATCCTTGCAGTTGCTGAGTGAATGATGTGCATTTTTTGGGCCTGTTGTGCCTCAGAAAGGATGTTTCAGCAAAATGAGCATGTTCTCTCACTGCCTAAAGTATATGTTTAGAGAAGAACATTTTCCCATAGTTGTGTGAGTTGAAAGGAGAGGAGCAATTATGAAGAAACAATCTGTAATTCTGCAGTGTCAGATGTGGTCATGCTGTGCCACAGGGAGTGAGGTTAACACAGGTACTCCTGTAGGAAACCTGAAGTTTCTGATGAAATTTTCCTCTTCTGCAGTGGAGTGTCAGCCAGCCTTTTCCTGAGTAAGTCTGTGGTGCCTGGGGCCACAATGGCAGCATTTGCAAAATGGAGCCTAAAGGGAAAAATGAGTCTGATGTATTCTTCAGAGAAGAAAAGCACATTAAAATGTTGGGCACTGAAGCTTCTTAGACCAAAATGCAAGTGGAAACATGTCTTGCATCTTGGTCTTGATGCTATTTTTTTCCAACTCAACCTGTGGCTAGAACTCTCTGCAGTGGAGAGTTAAGGCTGGCGCATGCCTTTATTAAAATACTCATTGTGTAACCACCTGGTTTGTAAATACCAGGAAATATTTAATATTTGTCATCATTAAAGTGTGTGTGGTGTTTTGGGCATCATGGATTGTTTTCTGCTGCAAGCCTGTGTTTTTGGGAATGCGGTACAATGCTGTGGTTAGGGAAGCACGGTGAGAAGCAGGGCCTTACTGCTCAGCTCTAGGGCTTGGGGATGTTGTTTATATTCCTGAAGCCATCATTGCTCAGCATAGTTCCTAAAACAGCACAGCCTTGAGAGTCAGAGAATAGTGAAGTGGAGAAGGTTTTAGGAGGCAGTCAAGAAGTGTGGGAATCAATAGTTAGAGGCTTTGCTCTCTCCCACTGCATATGTAAGGCTGTAGGCATCTCCTTTCTGTTGACGGCTCTCTGCTGTGTTTATCCTTTTATGCACTGGGTGAAACGCTCCCCAAAGCCTGTTCTTGCCTCCTTCCATTCTTCACCTCATCCCATACAATGCATCTCTGTTTTCAAAGATACCCAGTAACTTGCATGATGCTTCAGTTTGATACCTGGGGATTTCCATGAAGGTCCTGGTTAAACCCCCAAAGTCAAGAATCATCCGTACAAACATGAGCTGGTTGTCACTGAGAGCTTCGCCACAGTTTACTGCCAAAACATGTATTGAAACAACAAAGTGTATAGGTAGGTATAAACTGGACTTTGCTCTCTTGAGGAGGCAGCTAGAATGTCTGCTAAGGATTTCTGGAAGTTAAATTTTGAGCCTGAGATAAAAGTCTCATGCATACGTGAAACAGCTGCTCCAGAACCTGTTGGAGGACTCAATTTGAGTATAAACATATGTGTGCTTTTGCGTACATGCTGCTCTTTAATTCAAGTCGACTGTTAGGTCTTAACTTTATTAGGATGTAGCTACTTGAACTGAAGATGTGGTCTGTGATTTTTATTTTATTATAGAAGCATGATGCCTCCTTTTGAAATGTTTGGATTTTACAAATCGGTATCTTAAGTACTGTTTGCCTTTTGTAATATGTTAGAGGAAAAAATTTACAAGTGAGGGCAGGGTTATATCGGATTACAAGTGAATTGCTTGACAGTATGTGTGTACTGTAAAATGGCAAATTAATCACCCTGTGTTGATGACCCATGGACATTTACAAAAGGCTGGTCTTTCTGTAGCACAAATAGATTCCGGAAACAGGAAAGAGGCTTATGACAAGAAGATGAGATCAGTTTGTATAATTAGAGCTGGCTAATAATCCTTTTTTACTCTCTGTTTTTCCAACTTTTACAGTATCTTTCTTAATTTGAAATTGGGCATATGAACTGTAAAGAGATAGCTGCTGTGGTTTGAGTTTTGTAGGTTTGTTTTTTGTACCTACTAATAGATGAAGGGATGGAGCAGGGAAACACTTGAGAGGGATCTCTGCCTTCCCCTTCATGGGTAAAGTGCTGCTTTTGTTAACCCTCCACTGCTTCGTATCTTCCCAAGATTTGGGCAGGAATTAAGTAATCCAGGGGATGATTTTTTTGACAATTACGAGATTTAAATGGTCCAAAAGAAGAAACTTAATGTTGAGACTCAGGGTTATTTGGCTAGGTATTAGTCTCTGGAGTAAGACAGGGCTGGCAAAGCTGAGTCAGGGACTTACTACAGTATAGATAAGCCTTAAGCTTATTTTTTTATGTGTGTGTGTATCTGCTTGCCTGTATCTTAGCTTTGTGTTACACTTCTTTATTTTGGGAAAGGTAATGGGAAAGGTTTGGGTGAAGCAAGTGGTGTGAGCAGGGGGTGGGTGCCCCTGGGCAGTCCAGCTCCCAGCCCAGGAACAGTGCAGTGCCAGTTCCTGCTGCCAGGAAGCTGAGCTACATTAAGCAAAGCGAGTTAATCTATATCCAGGGCATTTTATTAAATCATCAGTCAATTAAATCAGTGACGCTCTGTTAGCTTGTGTTGCAGTGAGGCTCCAGCCCCTCTGCAATAGCTCAGCTCTACAACTCCCCCACTGCTGCTTGGTGGGCTCTTGTGTATACAGGCCACAGGACTGTGGTTCCCAACTCTGTAAAGAAAAAATCCAACAGATTTTAGGCAGATTTTGCAATTATATATGTTCTTTAAATTCTTTTTTCTAAACTCTTGTGAAGTTTCTTCTCTTTCTGTAATAGTATCTCTGTCTGTCTGGTTCTCCTGAGGGTGGCTTGCTCTGTGCTTTTGGAAGAGAGTGATGGTAGAGCCAGACCAACACAAAACATCTTTTAAACCTCCTTCTCATCCCTTGTACCTGAAAGAAACTCCTGTTTCATCTGTAGTTGAATG